ATGGACGTGTGCTTATATGAAACCATCCTTCCTTTCTTAAACAAGAGAACGTTTCTCCCAAGGTAGGTCTCGGTCGAATAAACCCCTTCTCCAAAGCTCTTGCAATTAGTTGACTTACACTGCCTGAAGTCTCTTAATCGCCATACGATAGGGTGCTTTTTGAAACAGGCCTCAGCACCAGGTACAGAGATCATGAGAAATCAATCTCTCTTACCGGAGGCATTTCATGGTAATACTTAAAACAGGAATACCATCAGGAGAAGTCTCTACTACTCAACAATCCTCCAATCAATTCTGGTACTTGCTTAGAAATGCCCTTACATTGTCTAGAAAGCTTTGGTACCCCCTTCTATAATTAAAACTGCAAGCTTATAGATTGAAATAATCATAGAAGAGATATACCTCTATCACCTTGAAAGACCAAGCTTCTCTCCTCCACGGAAGCGTGATCTCACTACCTTCTTATTACAGTCTATAGAGATGGAACTGGTTAGACATCCAATCCATCCTAAAATCATATATAAATCCTTAAGAGGTAGTAGCAACAACTGCAACTTCAAATCCTTCTCACATAAAAAAAGCAGGTGTGAACATGATACTTGGAAGCAATCATGCTAGACACCCATCGGTAACAATACTTGACAATGTAGTGGGCACACTATGGAATTCAATGCAATGCTTACATAACAAACTCCTGACAATGAATGAATGCGATGCACCGGGGTATCAAAAGCCTTAACTAGATACACATTGAACATAAATAATACCTGTGATCAATCAGAGACTCTGGCTTTCTTTGCTGCGTGATTAGCAATAAACCCCGGCTATGTACCAAGGTCTCGTACCGGTAACCAGTACTGAAGCGATGCAGTGTGGACTCTAGCTCTGGTCTACCAACTGTAGGCTTTGTTTTTCTCCCAACCTCTGCTGAGGTGGAGGAGCACTGGACCTCCCCTTCCTAGTACCCCTTGGGCATTTCTAGCCTATGTTTGCCAGGCTTAGATGGCACATATAACAAATATTGAGCCAGATAATACATTTCCTTCTATGAGTCTGCCACATTTGTCACAAGCTCTACTGTGAAAAGGAACTCCCACTGCTGTGCAGCCTCTACTTTTCTTCACACTAGGCTCCACCAGAATGCGTCTGAAACTCTGGTCTTTCAAAACCTCCTCTTCTTTGAAGGAAATCTCTCCTCTTTAGTCAGCCTGAAAGTCAATCTCTATCTTCTTGCTTTTCCAACCAAAGCGGGGATTAGGTCCTGCAAAAACTAAGAGGGATCAGTGGCTGGACGAATAGCATCACGAGGCCTGCCAAAATCTTTGACACTTCTCCTCAGTATTAAGGAATAATCTGGGGTGCATTATCGAAGACAACATGGTAAGATTCAGTTCATAGTTGCATAACAGTCTTAATCTCTCTTGCAACCAATCTAATGAACGCTTCCTGCATTCTGCCTCCTTGTCAGTAAAGAGGCACAATACCAGTCCTAAACTCAACAAAAATCTCCCATATAATCTGAGATGCATCACGCTCACCTATACTTTTCTAACATCAGTCCTCTCCCACCATCGTTTCTGCTTCGCCATCCAGAGCAAAAAGTGGGTAGGGTCCCCTTCCTATCTTACTGGACAGTGGCATGCTCTCCACAAATTTTTCTCCACCTTAAAACAATTTACTCTGCATCTATGCGCTCTCCTGCTCCCTAAAGAGTTGTGGTCCGATGTCCCTTGAAATATCTTCAAACTTTATCCACTATAAGTCTCTTGTGAGTCTCTAGTGTCTCCTTCTTGAAAAACTAGGTTGTGGCTTTTGCTCTTGAGAAAGCTGGAATCAACTGTGTCACACCATAATCATCTGAGTGGAACATCCGTATTTAGTTATACTGCACACCACCAGGAGCAGGTATCATAGATGGAACCACACACTACACCACCAGGGGTGTGTTACTAAGCTGGAACAACTGGAACTTCCCTTCCAGTCTGCTCAGTGTTACGCATCAGTTACTTGCTCATCAGTGGCAATCACGCTCCTGATCCATAGCATCAGTACTGGCCGGTCAGTGCATCTCGCTCCTGATCCATAGCCTAGAAACAAATGAAAGTAACCTAAATTCAATAACTCATAAAACAATACCATCCTATAATAAACGTAGTTCCTCTATAAATTCATATATCATCCTAATGGCGCTTTGTATTGATGCATATTAATCTTAATCGCTCTGTACCCACCTCTTGTCACGACCCTGCCCGGTTAGACTTGTATATACGAGGCGGGAAGAAGTCGGACGTTAACAAAATCATTTAAGTATTCTATGTCATTACAATTCTGCCAAAAGACTTTAGATTGGAAAGATACAAGCGCCTCTAATACACAAATCTCATAACACCACATATGTCTAACACAATGTACAAGATGGTATATCAAAAGTTTTGACACTTACTCTGTATGCCATCCAAAAAATCACAAAACACTAAAAACTACAACTACAAGACAGTAAAAAGGAACCTGTCACCCGGAGTACGACGTCGTGTAAGTAAAACCTTCGGTGATCAGCCATCACCTCAGCGTAAGGTTCTCCTGAAAATTTCCCAAAACTCGGGAATGAGGCTACGCTCAGCAAGTGATAACTATACTAAAATTTGTATATCTAAAAAGAACTATTTTGTGGAATAATATACTACACATGAGTTAATAAGTGTCTAAATGTTAAATTGAACATGATATGCCATTTACTTGCCTAAAATATGACATGTGATTGCATAGTTAACTGTAATGTCATAATATAAACATCCGTCCCCGTAGTATCGAATTCATACTGATCACGTACATTCTTCTTTTTTTTTCATGGCCATAGCATTTTCATATAATTCCATCTTGCCTCAAAGCGGTTTTATACTAACCTCTTGATACTCCGTCATCAACAATCACAAACGATGTACATGCTATAATGCAAAGAATGGCATTCATATGATAGGTTAATGACCGTTTTGGACCTTTCATTCTAAGTACCAATGCTTAACATTAAGTAACACTTGCATGAAATGTATCATTAAATACCCTTGCATGACATGACATTAAGGAACAATTGCATGAAATGTATCTCTAAGTACTCTTGTATGAAATGTAAACATTAAACATAGCATAAAAGTTTTGAACAATAAAGGTATACTTGTTTTAGCAATTAGAATCACTTACCTTACACCTTCTTTGCTCTCCCTACTAACAGTCTTGTCTCCTTCTACGGTTCAAGACCTAAAGCAACGTGATAAACGATCATTAGCCTCAATCCTTAACATCTAAAATCCCTACACATCATCTTATACCCTCTTATACATTCATTTATTTTGTAAATAAAAACATTTAATCTAAAATTTTCGGATTAAGAAAAATGCCCAAAATTTTGACTTTCATCTTTTGCCCATTCCTTTCCTTAAGCATGCCAAAACCTCCCCTTTATTTATTTAATCAATAATATTCATTTATTTTCGGATTTATATTAAATTAAAATTTGGAAAAAATATTTTTCTCTCCAATTTGACATTAGAGCCCTCCTTAAGCCCTTAGGAACTAAGTTAGGACACATGCAACCTATAAAACTTAGGTTTGGAAAAACCCTAGGCATTCCCAATTGATTTTCCATTCAATTTCTCTACAAGAAAATTAAAATCTTGCTACCTAAAGCTTGCCTTACACTCCTCTATCAAATCCTCTCAAAATTTTTCAACAAATGAGAAACCCAAATTTTCGGATTTCCATCTTTTTCTCAAGTCTTTTGACATAAAGGGTAGAATACTATAAATCAAGTCAAATCCCAAAGCTTTCCTAAAGAAACTTTCTAAAAAACCATAAACCCTAAAATTTTCTTTCAAGAAAACTCAAAAATAACTTCAAATGTTTGAAGGAAGACTTACCCCAAGTCTTCCTCTTGCCTTTCCTAAGGATTCTCGCCGGAATCTCGCCGGAATCGCCGGCTTGGAAGGAGCTCCCGCCGCTTCCCTTCTCTCCCGTCGCCCTCTCTCTCGGGTCAGCCGAACGAAACAACAAGGGACCGAAAGTTTCAGTCCCTTAGGCGTGAAAAGGACTTAAGGAGAGATAGGAAGGGAAATTATGCATGTGCCCCTCATCCTATTACTCTCCCTACTAAGTCTTGAAGGGTAAAATGGGTAAAACAAGCCAAATGTTATTTAAACGATATTCGGCAAATTTTAACTCCCAAACCGAGCGAAATTTGGTATAAGTTCTTTATACCATTTCGCTCGAAATTTCGAGACGAATCTAATGAAATTTATTTCGTTGAATTCCGACGACATCAAAATTTCACTTAAGTTCGTCGCGGCGCATCGATATGCGTGCGACACACTCAAATGATGAATTTCGGGTTTTACACTAACATCCCTAACGAACTTTCACTAAGCATCAATAACAATCTTTAAAACTATAATTCTATCTTCAATTCTATTAATTTTTATAATATTATCCTTCAAACTCTTATCTATAATCACACCTATACCAGTTATGATATGACTCCTACTAGAATACTGAACACCTTAATTTAAATCCTAAATTGTCAATCTCCTTGGCCTTCTCTCCAACTCATTTAATTTCTTGAATTCTTAGAATATTTATCTTCCTATGAATCAAAATATATTAATTTTATTAATTTGCCTGTAAGGAAACCTATATTTCAAGTTCCAATCATAATCATATATAAGACCACTTCAAGGCAAGAAAAAAATTTAAAATAAACAAAGTTGGGAAGTTCAATTTGAATATAAACCAAACAACCTCCACAACTTATGAGTGCCATCCTTTTCACAGAAGAGCAACTAAATATGCTTCATATTTGATGTAGAAGGTTAATAAAGTGGGAAAAAAAGAGGTAGACATTGTTTATATGTTAATGTCGAAATTCACAAAACAACTGTTTTTGTTGTTACTAACAAGGAGGATAAAAGCCACATAAAGTGAAAACAGTACCAATAAGCTGGCCGTTTAGAAAAATTCGGGCTACATCTCGAATGCTATGTATTGTCAGTGCTGGGTGACTGTCTTTTTCCTTCCAGTATGCGATGTTCTCATCCGAAACATTGATTCTGATTAAAAAAAAGGTTTTATGTTGTTTTCTGCTAAACATATTCATACTTGCGAAACATATATGCATTAAAAGAACATACAACAGAATAGGAGGCCTTTAATCTAATTGTATTTCTTTCTGTACGACTGACGGCTTAAAGATGATAAGTAAAATGCCATACAGTTATTAACATACTGAACAGATCTCAAATCTGGAGGGATGAACATAATAGCAATGTGCATCTTATTCCAGGCATTTATATTACATAAAATACAAGGACATCAATTCTTTCAAAAATGTTCCTAACAAACCTGTTCGATATTGTAACCTGGACAACTCCAATTTAACTACTTGTTTAATTACTCTACATCAAACAAGTTGTCATAAAAAATCAATGATGCTATATTCAGTTCACGTAGCATGTGAGATGCTTAAGTTGTGATGAGTGTTGCATTTTACCTGGTAATATACCATAAGTAATCAGAAGCATCTTTTGTTACATTAAGATGCTCTAGAATTTGTTGTGTTGTGAAGCTGTTGGAATTCCATATGCCTATTGGCTCACTGAAAGCCATCCAGGTACTTGAGACACTAAAATCTTTAGCAGAAAGCAGAAGGTTCCCAGGTGATGTTGTGTTTGAATAACTAGATAATAGAGGACTGGAGGATTTAATGGAAATCTGGGACCCTACCTGAAAATAACCATTGAAGTGTGAGTTAACTCAATAAAATAAAGAACAAAGCCAAATGTGACAAGCAGAATTAATATGGAAAATCTATTATCACATTACCAGATAATATTCTTTTGCTCATTGGCATTTATACAGAATATAATAAATCTCCTTTATGAATATCATATAAGAATGTTTTGGAAGAGGTTTATATGATACTCTAACTCTGCTTTCAAATTGGAGGATTTATGGAAGGAGGAAGAATCGGCATAAGATGACTTATAAAGAGGTATATAAAAATTGTAGTGACAATACTTGTCTCGTTACTAGTGGGTAGATATTCTTCGACTGCAGCACCATGATGATGCGATAAGGCTTTGAAGAGAACATACGAGCTCTTGAGAATCATAGACATTGTTTGGTAAAGATATGAACTGCTTTTGTTTGAGAAATTTGACGTCAGAATCTGTTGGTTGTGCTGGTATGAGCGTCAGAAGGTGCTATATTGTTGTAAATCTTACCCATATCTTCACAACGAAGGTCAATATACATGTAGAGTAGCTTGTTGGTCATCACAAAATTATCAGCATCATTATTTTGCACCAAACAACACAATAGCAGTACAACATTAAAAAATGTAACCTGATATCAAACACAATTTATGAAAGCGAGGCGCTTTGATGGGTTCCCTCCGCCTCACATAATTAGCATTATAGAGAAATTCTGGTATTAGGCATCTTGATTACTCACATAGCAAGAATTAGCATCAACATTCCTTAATTTTGCATGAGATAAGGCCTTCTGATGACCGGATTAGAATAGCAGATGTATTAAATTTAGACTATGTGAAGAAAGAAAGAGGTAGACCTAAAAAAGCTACGTTAGAAAATATTAGAAAGGATCTTTTCTTATTAGAGTTAAATGAAAATTTGACTCTTAAAAGGATACAATAGAGAAAAAGGATTCATGTAGCCGACCCCATGTAGTGGAATAAAAGATTGATGTTGTTATTGTTAAAACTTCAATTAAATAAATAAATACTCATCTTCAAAAACTTTTTCATTCTTAAAAAAAATACTCAAAATCAATATAAGTATATACAAAAGATATATGGCAAAGACAACAGAGAACAAAAAAAAAAGTCATGACTATAAAAAATCATCCAACATATCTATACAGATTCAAATCCCACAACCTACAACCTACCCTCTACTCAGTCTATTCCTTTTCTTTATCCTGACCTAAAATAGATGCAAAAAAAAAAAATCATGAGCAACCATAGCACAGCAGGCCACATTCTACCTACCCAAATCTTTAATAATAATTATCACCAATAATAAAATAAAAATAGTAATGTGAAGTATATTCACCTGTACATAGGTTCAATCAGATGTCTCAAAATAAATAAATGTCCACAGAGCAATCAACAATATCTTTAAAGTATTAATCAAAATAGCAATATAGTAAAAAAAAAAAAAAAATAGTAAGAACTTCATAATCATATCTCATAATAAATGCATTTTAAAATATAATAAAATGTTAGAGTAATCGTTAGGTTTCACAGTGTCCTGCTAACAATAACAAAATCAGAAGTCTGAAGGAAAGCCTTTATGAAATATAAGGTTTTTCATAAATTCACCATATTACAATAACAACAACAACATCAAGCCTTTATCCCACTATGTGGGGTCGGCTACATGAATCCTTTTTCTCCATTGTGTCATATTAAAGGTCAAATTCTCGTTTAAATATAATAAAGAAAGATCATTCCTAATATTTTCTAACCAAGTCTTTTTAGGTCTGCCTCTACCTTTCTTAACATAAGTCAAATCTAATTCCCCTACTTTTCTAACCAGGTCATTGGAAGGCCGCCATTTTATGCGACCAAACCATCTAAGGCGACCATCTCTAATCTTATCTTCTACTGGAGCTACTCTAACATTTTCACGTATATGCTCATTTCGTATCCTATCTCTAAGGGTAAAGTCACTCATCCAATAGAGCTCATCTCTGCCACACTTAACTTAGTATTATGCTTCTCTTTTAATGGCCAACATTCAACACCATAAAGCATTGCAGGCCTCACTTATAGAATTTTCCCTAAAGTTTGAGGGGTACTTTTCTATCACACAACAAGCCCGATGCATTCCTCCAGTTCAACCATCCAACTTGAATTCTGCTGATAATATCCCCATCTATTTCACCATTACTCTGAATAATAGATCCAAGATATCTAAAACGTGAACTTTTATTAATGACTTGATGGCCGAAAGTCACAATCCCCTCACTAGGTCTATTACTACTAAAATTACACTCGATATATTCCGTTCTACTCAAGCGAAAACCATTAGTCTCTAATGTTGACCTCCATAATTCAAGTTTACTTTCAACTCCCTCTCTAGTCTTATCAACAATAAGAATATCATCAGAAAAAAGCATACACCAAGGTACATCCTCTTGCAAATGTCTAGTGAGAACATCCATGACTAAAGCAAAAAGATATGAGCTTAAAGTTAATCCTTGATGTAACCTAACCGAAATAGGGAAATACTTGGTCAAAGCACCTTGTGTTTGAACACAAGTAATAGCTCAAACATACATATCTTTAATGATTTGAATATAAGCATTATTAACTCATTTCTTTTCAAGAACTCTCCATAGCACTTCTCTTGGAACTTTATCATATGCCTTTTCTAAATCAATAAATATCATATGTAAATCCACCTTATTTTCTCTATATTTCTCCATCAAACCTCTTAATAAATATATGGCTTCCATAGTCGACCTAGCCGGCATGAATCCAAATTGATTTTGAGAAACATTAGTATCACGCCGCAACCTATGCTCCATAACTCGCTCCCATAGTTTTAAAGTATGACACATTAACTTAATTCCTCTATAATTTGCACAATCTTGTGCATCGCCTTTATTATTAAAAATAGAAATTAACACACTCAATCTCCACTCATCTGACATCTTTTTAGTCTTCAAAATAGTATTAAAAAGTTTAGTAAACGAAGAAATTCCTTCATCTCATAAGCATTTTCACACCACTATTGGAATATCAACAGGTCCAGCAGCTTTTCCACTCTTCATTTTCTTTAAAGCCCCTCTAACTTCAGTTTTACTAATACACCGATAAAATATAAATCTTTATTTTCATTTAGGGTATTAAGGTCACTATAGTCAATCTTATTTTCACAATTTCATTAAAAAGTTTAGCAAAATATCTTATCCACCTTTGTTGAATATCATCTTCAAAGAAAAATATTTTTGGATCTTCATCCTTAATACACTTCACTTAAACTAAATCCTTACTACTCATATCTCTTTGGTTGGCTAACTTATACATATATCTTTCTACATCCTTAGTATCTAATCTATTATATAAATCACTAAAAGCTAAGGTCTTTGCATCGCAAATTGCTTTCTTAGATTCCTTACGAGTGTGGGTTCCGAAAATTCGGCCCTGGCCTCCCCGCCGCGTTGAAATGCTTTTTTTTGGGCGAGGGGAGTTTTAACGGAATAAGTTCCGGGGTAAATTTTGGATGACAGATGGGTTTGTAGATAAGACACTACCCAGAGATTTCGCCCTCATTTTGTGAGGACTTTATGATCTGAGTTCTGGTTTCTTATAGGCGCAAGCCCCTATAGTTAATTACCCCTCCCAGTAATGAGAGAGAACTTTCAATTAAGGCTAGTCGTCAATAAGATACTTATAAATACGTGTTATTTGACATATAGTAGCAGCATTGGGCATTGAGATAGTTGTAGAATTTGGGAATTTGGGCTGAAAGATTTGGAGATTTGATATTTAAAATTGTAAAGTTCACCATCTTGCACTTAAAGCGGATGGTGGGGGAATGGACGATGGACCTGATCAAGATCCCATGATTCCGTCGTCCCGGGCCATCGTGGTCCCTGGTCTACTTAGTCAGAGGAGGTAGTCGACCCAACCTGACAGAAGGATCCTTGTCGGCAGCCATGGGTTGCTTCGTCCAAGGGTACCTTGTAGACCTGGGGTGAATGTTTGTTTAAGGGGACAAATTTGAATCCACCTTAGCTGACATAGAGCTTTGTGCCCTATCGATCATATCCTATTGATTCGTATCTCAAGGATTTAGTGCCACTAAGGAGCGTATTGGCTTTGGCCATAACCGCTATCTGTGGTGCCATTTGGCGGCAAAACCACTCGGTTCAGAGAACCCCAGATCGTCATAACCGTTTATCCTGCGGTGCCATTTGGCGGCAGACCGCCGATTAGATGACACATACCATGTCCTTACTGGCACGAGATTAGTTTGAGAATGGATCCTAGTGATATTTTCGACTAGGCATTTGGCTCTTTGTGAGCAGAAGTAGATTTTGATTTGTCCACCCCGGCAAACTGTTGTGGAGGGTGGATGGATTTTGCTTTGGGTGATTGATGGATTTATTTCAATTTTAAATATTTTTTGGGATTTTGGGATTTTCTGGAGTTTTGGATTTTTAATGGATTTTTATGAGGCAATTGGAAAGCCTGAAATTAACCCCTCCGGTTGAGATATACATTCAACACGGCCATCATCGGGGTGTTTGAGGTCATCTCCATTTTCTAGATTGAACCTTGTCGACTCTGTCTACTGGTCGACAGAGGATCGGGTTTCTTAGGCTTTATGCCTTTTATTTAGTGAATTCTTTTGATTGTAGGCCTTGAAGGCCTAATATGAATGTATTGAAACAAATACATCGGTCCCCACAACCATGTATTTGTTTGAAGGTTCGAACCCTGTCGACTTCTATTGATCCGTATAGAAGGATCAGGTTCGAACTAGAATTCACTTATTGACCCGCGCAGCATCCCTAGGCGTCACGTGTGTACCAATAACACGCTCGCCGGGGCTCATGCGGGTGATTTTTATATACCCCTTTAGTGTACCTATGTGTATACAATTTATGGTGCAAGTGCATGAGTATTTTAAAAGTATATGTAGACGCCTTCTGTCCGCTTGCATAAATGTTGCGGATCCGGTGGCGTGACG